AGAAAGAAAGAAAGAAAGAAAGAAAGAAAGAAAGAAAGAAAGAAAGAGGGAGGAAGGAAGGAGAATGAATGGGATGTGGAGGGAGGGAGGGAGGGAGAGAGAAAGAGAAAGAGGGAAAGAGAAAAAAGAGAAAGAGAGGTAGAAAGAAAGAAAGAGGGAGGGAGGAGAAAGTGAATGGGATATGGAGGGAGGGATTGAGAGAGAGAAAGAGAAAGGGAAAGAGAGAGAGAAAGAGAGAGAAGGAAGAGACAAAGAAAAGAAAGAGAAAAGGGAAAGAAAATGGGAGAAAGGAAGAAAAAGGATAGACAAAGAAAGAGGGGGAATGGAAGGAAGGGACAGAAATAAAAGAAAGAAAGAGAGGGAGGGAGGGAGGGAGGGAGGAGAAAGTGAATGAGATATCTAGTCCAACCACCTGCTCCAGGCAGGGTTAGAAGGGAGTGTGTGTGTGTGTGTGTGCGCGCGCGCGTGGCTGTCAAAACTCCAAAAACAGGTCAAGTAGCTCTGGGGAGACCAGTCACAAATTACACTTATTAAGCAACCGGCCATTAAGCGAGGATCACTTATATTTGGTTTGCCAGTCACATGGACACCTGGCCATGCCCACCCAATCACATGGCCTCCTAACCACACCCACCCAGACACATGACCACCAATCCACGCCCTCCCGGTCACGTGTCCACCAAGCCATGCCCATCCAACAAGGCACGCCCACCCAGTCACATGACCACCAAGCCACACCCACAAATTAGGCCACGTCCACAGAACCAGTTGTTAAGAAATTTGAATCCCAGTTCTGGGTGAGGGGAACTGAGGATGAGTTTGTAGCACCAAGGGGGTGGTGAACTGAAAAAGTTTGGGAACCACTGCTCTATGAGGTACTCTGTGGAGCCTATAGATATGCTTCACGAACAGTTTTGCAAGCTTTTTTGCTGATGGTACTCCTTTACAAGCTGTAAAGTGGGCTTGCTTAGAGAGTAAGTCGATAACAGTCCAAATAACTGTATTCCCTCCACTCTCAGGTAATTCTACGATAAAGTCCATCGCGATTTCTTCCCATGGCTTTGTTGGTTCTGCTACTTGTTGAAAGAGCCCAGGGAG